AGCTGGACAGGGGACAGATTGTATTTGTCTTCAGTGTGGAAGGGATGGCCACTCTCGAATTGGCCTCCTCAGTCACACGAGACGCTGTTCCGAGACCTCTAATTAATGTGTCTCCCCAGGAGGGCAAGGTTCCTCTTGCCCTCAAGGAGACACTCATTAGGCCCATTAGGAAGAAACCAAATCTGGCGGCGGACGAAACTGGCAATTATAGGCCCGTCGCCAGTGTGTCCTTCCTCAGCAAAGTGGTTGAGAGGGTGGTGGCAGACCAGCTTCAGACGCTTCTGGACGAAACCAATGCCCTGGGCGCATTTCAGTCGGGCATCAGGCCACGCTATGGTACAGAAACGGCACTGGTCGCACCGTTGGATGACCTGTTGAGGGAGGCCGATGGGGGCAATACGTTCTTGTTGCTCCTCCTTGACATCTCAGCTGCCTTCGATACCATCGACCACGGTATCCTCCTGAGGAGGCTCTCCGAGCTGGGAATCGGTGGCCTGGTGCTTGCCTGACTCCAATCCTTCTTGGAGGGCCGTCCCCAGAGAGTACAGCTTGGTGAGATTGTTTCGGGCCCGTGGAGTCTTAATTGTGGGGTTCCGCAGGGGTCGATCATCTCTCCAATGCTGTTTAACATCTATATGAGGCCGCTGGGCGGGGTCATCAGGGGGTGTGGGACATATGCTGATGACACGCAGCTCTACATCTCCTTCTCACCTACTTTAGTGGATGCCGTTCTGTCCCTTCAGCGCTGCTTGGAGACAGTAAAGTGGTGCCTCGCTTGACGAGGATAATTCGTTCCGTTCAAATCGCTGTTAAAGCAAAGCAAAGCGTGCTGCTTATATACCGCCCCATAGTGCTTCAAGCACTCTGTGGGCGGTTTACAAGTTAATTATGCAGGCTACACATTGCCCTCCCCAGCAAGCTGGGTACTCATTTTACCGACCTCGGAAGGATAGAAGGCTGAGTCTACCTTGAGCCGGCTACCTGGGATTGAACCCCAGGTCGTGAAAATAGTTTTGGCTGCAGTACAGCGGTTTAACCACTGCGCCACAAGACTCTTATTAAGCAAAATCCTCATCAAACGAAATTAAAAAGCCCATAGAAATGCATTGAAAACTGGTTCAATGCATTCCAGTGGGCAAAATACCTCAGCGTCCAGTGAAGATCCTCCATAGGGCGGCCATTTTCCGGTGCCTGTAATGCAAGGAATCTGTCCTAAAGCACAGCAGGAAGCCATTTCGCACAGCGGGCAGCCATTTTGAAACCCAACGATCAGCTGTTTTTGATCGCTGCTAAGCAAAAAATAGGTTCCCGAAGCAGGGAACCGATCAACGTTAAGCAAAAAAAGCCCATTCAGTCGTTGTTTAGCGATCACAATAGCAATAGCAAAAAATAATCATCAAGCGATTTCCTTGTCTAATGAGGTAATCGTCAAGCGAGGCACCACTGTACTGAAATGGATGCAGCTGAATGGGTTGAGGTTAAATCCAGACAAGACGGACGTCTTGAGGGTGGGCGGTCCCTCCATCAGCGGGTAACTCCCTTTCTTTTGGGGGGCTGACCATCACTGCAAAGAGCGAGGTTCGCAGCTTGGGGATACATCTAGACCCATGGAAGCCCAGGTGGCGTCCGTGGCCCGTTCCGCCTATTTTCATCTATGGCGGATTGCCCAGCTGCGACCATATCTTGATGGGGGGCTCTCACTACTCTAGTCCACGCGCTCGTAATCGCGAGACTAGACCATTGTAATGCACTCTACGTGGGGCTGCCTTTGAGATTCATGCGGAAACTTCAAATGGTGCAAAATGTGGCAGCCAGGCTCCTTAGTGGGGTGAGAAAATATCAGTATATCTCCCCCATCCTGGCTGCTCTGCACTGGCTGCCCATTCGTTTCCGCATTGATTTCAAAGTTTTAATTGTGACGTATAAAGCCCTAAACGGTTTGGGACCTCGATACTTGGCAGATCGTCTTTTCCCACCCAAGTCTACCCGAATCACTCGACAAAGCCAGCAGGGACGGCTGAGGGGCCTAACACTGAGAGAGGCCCGTAAAGAAAGAACAAGAAACCGGGCCTTTTCGGCAGTGGCCCCTTGGCTCTGGAACAGCCTCCCAACTGAAATCCGTCTGGCTCCCTCGCTGGGCGTTTTCAAAAGCCATTTAAAAACCTGGCTATTTAGGCAGGCCTTTTCCCTCCAGTCAATTACCTGACTTTCTGTTTCTTTAACTATTCCATCTTAGCAATGTATATTGAAATAAGTGTTGTAGGATTTTATTATGTGGGTTTTATTATTTATGTAAGCCGCCCCGAGTAGACTTTGTCTAGGGGGCGGGGTAGAAGTCTAATAAAAGTAAAAGTAAAGTATTCAGAGCACGTTACCATAGTCTCTCGAGACGGAAGGATGCCTACAGAGATATCAGCTTCCTTCAAGCCAGTGCCCTGGGCTCCAGGAAGGATGGCTTCCTTCAAGCCAGTGCCCTGGGCTCCAGAATTTTTGGACTACAGTTCCCATCCCCTTAGCCAGGTAGGGGTCAGGCTTCTTGGGAAACCATGGCACGTCAAGAATTCCTTCGTAGTGCTGGTGATACAAAGGAAGCCAGTTAATCATGGGTTGATCACAAGACCTTTCGCTCCTCTGGGACCCACGGGACAGCTTGGCTGCGTCCCAGAGAAAACTGAGCGGGTGGCGGGGGGAAGACCCACATGGAAAGGGTCTCGCCTTTCAGATGCATAGGCTCCCAGAACATCAAACCCTGAGTAATCGATGGCATGTCTTTCTCTAAGGAGTGGCAGGAGGAGGGCACCGAACCCTCTTTATATATCAAAGAGCTGGCTTGCATAACGCACAGAGACAGCGGAGACAGGCTGCTATTGTAGGAAGGAAGGGAGTCCCCGAGTCCAGTTCTCTGCTTCTCTCCTCTTTCTGCTTCTGTCCAGGATGGAACCGAGTGAGCGCTTCAGGTAAGCAGAAAGGGGCTCGTTCTCTCTGTTGCAGAAATCGTGGAGAGGGGGGACGGAATTAGCTGTGTGTTACTCTTCTTGCGGCATCTTAAAAACAAACTTTTTTTATTTGGCATACACCTCTCCCTGGAAAGCATCCTGTTTCCCAAAGAGTCTAAGTCTCAGTCGAAATGCTCAAGGCAGACATTTCTACAGAAATATTCCTTGCATACGAATGTCTCCTCCTGAGACTTCACTCCGTGCCTCCAACCAAAGCTTAGAGCAAGTGAATTTTTTTTTTGTCTTTGGGTTTCTACTGAGCTAGTTCTTATTTCCTTCTGTTTGCCCCTCCTTTCCCTGGGAGGGGAGTTTTACTTAAAAGAAAGCTTTCTCTCCCATTTTCTAACCTTGGGATTTGCATTCCACTAAAGAACACCATAAGAACTGTCCTGCTGAAATCATGGTGGGATAACGGCCGATGTGCCTCCGAAATGATGCTCAGTGGGGGTGGCTCCCAGGGAAATAGGGGTCGGGGGCTGGACCCTGTCGCTTCCCCTCTGCAGGTGAGTGGCAAGGATGGTGTTTCTTATTTCTCAAGACCATTCAGCGGCTCAGGCAAATCACAGACAGGAGGAGAGCGGGGCATTTCTGTTTTTCTTTCCCTTTAAAGAGAAAGAAGATCGCTCTAGGCGGTGCTCATCAGGGTTGCTTGAAGTGCAGTGTGGAAGCAAGGATCGCCCCAAACAACATACCGCAAAACCTCAACATCACCCTGTTTTGGCACAAACTGGACCAATCCAGGGCTGGGAGAACTGGTCCATCGACCGGCACCTGAAGAAACCTGGAGGAGGGTTGTGAGAGCAGACAGAGCAGTTCCAGGTCGAAATACACGGGTGTAAGCGCCCCCCCCGAATCTCGCAAGGTTGCTCACTTCTGTGTTTGATCCTACCTGAGATGTCACTAGAGATGAGCTACATACGCACGCTCCCGTATCTTGGTGAAGGCTCACTTTGTTCTTCATTATTGCAATTCTTCAGGGACTCTGCTCCCCCTGCATGCGATTCAGGGTACCAATTACCAAATAAATAAATAAATAACTTCATGGTTTAAGGACTTGAGATCAAGGGAAGAAGTTGACAGTCTGGTGTCCTCCAGATGTGCTAGATTTGCAGCTCCCAGCTGACTTAAAAGCCCAGGCAATATCAATAATTTCCTTTATTCAGGCCTCAGTTTTTCCTCCTGTAAAAATGTGATCTTCGTTATGCATTAATCCAAGTGTCTTTCAACTTATTTTTCAGGCCCATTTCTCTGTCCTTCACAAAGTGCAATTTAAGCAAAACTTACTTGGTGGCTGTGTGCTGTGCAGAAGGTCAGAGTGCATTTTTCTACCTTTGGTAATTTGTAGGTCATGCGAGCCTTCACAGAGCAACAATGCCACTCCCCATGTTAGGGCAAGACATACTTTTTTTTCATATTAATATTGCAGAGTTTTGCAGAGGGAAAGGGACAGAGGGCAGAGAGGCAGGAGGGAACCATGGGTTAGTGCTGGAGAACTTGACCAGCCCAGAAAGCTCCCTCCCACCCTAACCTACTAAAGACAGCATGCCAGGTTGCAAACACTCCAAAAATAAAATATATAATACCCGTGTGGTGCGCGAGCTGGAGTGTTAGGACACGAGGTGTGGGTTTGAATCCCTATTTGGCCATGAGACTGGCTGGATCAGTCACACACTCTCTGAGCCTCGCCGACAACACAAAGTTCTTGTGAGGATGATGTACGGAGTCGCAGAAACCTTGTCTGCTTACTTGAGCTCACTGGAGGAAAGTGGTGGGGGGATAAAAACACAACAAACCCTAAACAAACCAATGTTGTATAAAGAATGCGGGATCACTGAGGCTGAATCGGATTGAGGCTCTGATCCTACACCGTGTTTCCTATAGTTGCCAAATGGGCACCCGCAAAAGGACAATCGTTTTTGGAAACTTCTTCTTTTGGTGGTGATGGTTATGATCATACTGGCCAGAGGATTCTGGTAGATATAGTGCAAAAAACAACTTTTCCATGCTTAGTGGCTTCCTTTTGTTCACTGCCTTCCCCAGAAATCAGTGTTCTGAGCTATCACTATCTCGTGGGAATGCTAGAAAGGATTAAGTGGGCTTAAATCTCAAAATGATCCTTGTACTCACCCTTTGTTTTGGGAGATGTTGCAGAAGTGGACAGGGCAGGGAAGTGGTTTTATTTTTTTAAACTTTTAAAAATACTGTAAGCCAGTGCTTCACCTTGGAACAGCCCTAGCTTCAGAAACATGCTGTGCTGATTTAGCAGTGAATGATTCCCTGTTCACAGTCTGAAGCTGTTGCATCACAAACAGTGAAAGGGAAGGAGAAAGAAAGTGTGTGTGTGTGTGTAGAGAGAATGAGAACATGGCCAGAATCCGGTTGGGTTTGTGCAATGTTAACCTCAGATTGCATAACGCCCATCCTTCCATCCTTCCTTCCTTCTTTCTCCCTGTCCTTCCTTCTTTCTCCCTGTCCTTCCTTCTTTCTCCCTGTCCTTCCTTCTTTCTCCCTGTCCTTCCTTCTTTCTCCCTGTCCTTCCTTCCTTCCTTCCGTCCTTCCTTCTTTCTCCCTGTCCTTCCTTCTTTCTCCCTGTCCTTCCTTCTTTCTCCCTGTCCTTCCTTCTTTCTCCCTGTCCTTCCTTCTTTCTCCCTGTCCTTCCTTCTTTCTCCCTGTCCTTCCTTCTTTCTCCCTGTCCTTCCTTCTTTCTCCCTGTCCTTCCTTCTTTCTCCCTGTCCTTCCTTCTTTCTCCCTGTCCTTCCTTCTTTCTCCCTGTCCTTCCTTCTTTCTCCCTGTCCTTCCTTCTTTCTCCCTGTCCTTCCCCTACCTACCTACCTACCTACCTACTTACTTGTAAGCTGCCCCACGTAGACGCTGTCTAGGGGGGCGGGGTAGAAATCTAATAAATAAAAATAAAATAAAAACCAACCAACCAACCTACCTACCTACCTACCTACCTACCTATTTATTTCTTCTTCCTGGTCTCCGTGAATCACACATATGGGCATTTCTGAATATTCTAGAGCTTAGGAAAGAGATCTGTTAGAACAGCAAAACAAATCACAAAAAACCCTCCACTGTGCCTGGCAGCACAGGCGCCCTCTCTCCTCCGTTCCTGCGAAGGAAGCCCCAAGCTAGAGATTTCACAGATTCTTTCTTCAACCGGCCTTCCTTGTCTCGTCTGCTTTTCTTCATAAGTTTAGAGAAAGAGAGACAGACAGATTTTTTTTCATGGTCTTTTTCGTTCCTTCCCCCCCAATCTTTCCCGCCATTCTTTTCTGGCCTCGAAGGGACCATTTAAGAGGTACATGGCATGCAGCTACAAGATCGCCCTCACTGACAGCTGTGCAAGGTACTTCTACTCCCTCAGTGAGGGGCACCAGCCTCAGTTGTGCCCCAAAATCGACAGTCCCGCCTGTGGCCAGCAGGCCTTTTGACATACTCAAGCCACACGCTTGGTTGTGCATTCAGTTGCGTGCTTGGTCACACAACCAGAGAAGAGCAGGGCCGAAGGGAAAGCAGACATGCACACCCACAAATCACATGTGCCATTTTCCTTATGCACGTAGGATTCTAGCCCTCTGGGTCTATATCCTGCACGGTAAATAGTTTTCTACTGTAAAGTTCTGGGTTTGCAATACCCGTCTGCATGAGCATAATACAAGGAGGGGTGGTTGTTGCGCACACCGGGTGTTGGGTTGTGGATGGATCACTCCATCAGATGCTGCAGCTGGGCATGTGCAAATCAAGTCAGAGAAAAATGGCATGGTTCCACAACAAGATAAAGATATTTGCTCTTCTCGTGAAATACAAAAGGTTCCCAGTAGCAATGGGCCTCTGGTCCTCCATCCTGTTGCATGCTGTCTGGGGGATACCAGGAGAGACCTAATTTTTCAAACTACTGTATCCCCATCTTGAATGCTGAAAACAGATTTGGGGCTAAGCCCAGCCCGACCCTGACGGTTTCAACCTGCAGATCACTGTGTTTTCATTCTGTCTTTCCAGCTTTGAACGCTGTCGAGAAACAGCAGACTGGCTGCTCTCCCGTACCAGCCTTCGGCCTGAAATTGTCATCATCTGCGGCTCCGGGCTGGGCCCGCTCGGGGACAGCTTGAAGAATCAGGAATCTTTCACGTATGCAGAGATCCCCAACTTTCCACACAGCACAGGTACTACGCAGGTGAACAGCTCCTTGCACTGCCATCTCTCACTGTGGTTGGCTGGGTTTTCCATGGCATTCTGACAAAGGATGCTAAAAATCCCTTTTTTGCCTTCCTTCCTTCCTGCCGTGCAAACTCCAAAATGCAGAACTTCTCTGGAATCTACCTTCTGATTTAAAACTAACTACACTTTGTGCTGAAGTGTACACAGGATGCCTGGAAGACCACATTTGCTGAGAATGGGGTTCAGGCTGAAACTGGAATGTGTGAGAAGCAAGGCGGAGGTTTGGCATGGCACACATGTTCACTGGAAGAGTAATGAAGCTGCCTAAAGATACCGGGGCTGGAAGCAAATCAGGTGCACAAACGCACAGCCGGAAACACACAAACACACAGCAGTCAGTGGGCGGGGGGGTGTCCGAGGCGCCTGTTGCCTTGGTCCAAGACCTGTAAAAATGCAATAAAATTTGCACATGAATTCAAAAGTCTTGGGGAAGGAAAACACTGTGTTTTGAAGTGAGGGTGCAAGCAGCCCTCTCGGTCTGTTGCCGCAAAGCTAAGGACGAAGGCTGAGGCACCTGAACACCTTAACAAATTATAATAAAATGATTCTAAGTAAGACACTCTTTTAAAGCAATAATGTCATTTTAAAGAAATAGGCTATCAAAGGGTATCCCCTGGTGGAAACTCCTTTCTTTGCTACCCACACAGTTGCCAAAAGCTTACCTGAAAAGGAAGGTTTTTACCTGCTTTTGAAAGGCCAGCAGGGAAGAGGCCAGCCTGTCTTCCAGTGGAAGGGAGTTCCACAGCCTGGGAGCAGCTGCTGAGAGAAACCCTCGCTTGTTAACTAAGGAGATGCGCCTGGGAGGAGGATGGGACCGAGAGAAGTTATAGCTCAATAAATTTACGAAGGCTGCTTTATCTGGTAACAATGTCCGTCCTGCACCCCCAGAGGTGGGAAATGTTTGCAGGGGGTGAGCTGGGGTGTTAGATTACGGCTGCCAAATTCTGACAACCAAAGTGTCCACTGGGATTCTGGGAGCTGTAGTCCTTGATACAAGCATTTCCCACCTCAGCTTTTCACCCTCATGTCTGGCAGGGAAATCTGCATTTTACGCTGAAAAAGATGGAGGATGTGCTCTGTTTAGGTTTGGTTTTTTTAAAAAATAAATATGTGTGATGTGTTGCCAAGTCAAACCTAACTCATAGCATCCCTAATACAGCTATGAAGATACATGAGATATTTAAGGAGTGGTTTTATTAGTTCCTTCCTGCAGTGAGTTTCCATGGCCAAGTGGAGATTTGAACTCAGATCTTCTGAGTAAATAGTCCATCATGACATCACCTTTGGTATATGAAAAACAAAGCACTGGGGATTATTTCTCTCTCCCCCCCCCCTTCTCAACTTCTACTTGTTTTCGAGAAACTGAATGCCTAAGTTCAGGCTTAGGAAGGGTGTGCTAGAGATAAAAGCCACCTCCACTTCTCCCCCCGAGCCTTAATGTCGGCTCTTCCCTCTTTCTCCAGTGGTAGGCCACGAAGGGCGGCTCATCTTTGGGGAGCTGAAGGGCACACCGTGCGTTTGCATGAAGGGGCGCTTCCACATGTACGAGGGATACCCCCTCTGGAAGGTAGGTAGGTGGGTTGGTCGCTGTGATATTATGGCTTGGCTGCCTCCATCATGTCCAACTCAGGTCCCCTCCAGAACTAAAGACGCCAGGATCAAGGGCCACCTAGAACAATGGGATGCTGTATGGCTCCCATTAGCTCCTGCTAGCGTACGGCTGGTGGCCACTTGACTGGCCGGCCACCACCTCCGGAGATCTGCCCAGGTAGGAAAAACTGAGATTTCTTTTGAGACGGCCTCGCTCAGATTGTGGCACAGAATCTCTGCTGACTTGTGTACCACATTCAGGGGCAGTGACTACAATACGAAACGATTATTTGTGCACGTAAAATTGCCACAGCTTGGGGAAAGTTACTTTTTTAGAGGGTGAATTTCCAGAATCCCTGGCAGACGGCATTGGCCGGAGGATTCTGGGAGTAGTTGTTTTAAGAAAATGGGGTGGGAAGGGGAGAGAATTAAAACACACGGAACCCGCTGTGAAAATCCAAAATGAGGGTTTCTTTTCTTGTGGTCCTAAAAATATACTAAAATATGAGCTTTCCAGGCTTGTGAGAGTCTGAATCAGGTTGGGCGGTAAAAAGAGCAGAGTTGAAATTTAAAAGATAAAAAAAATTAATCCTGGCTGGATTTTGGAGGCTGCAGTTTTCTGTCTTGTCGTTAAAAGTTCCTGAATGGGGAGGACGAAGTTTGAAAGAAAGCTGCTCTCCAGAACTCTGTCAGTTGCCTTGAAACAGACCAGCACAGCACGTCTGCACTTTGTCTGATGGATCTGTGGAGAAAAGAGCCACTTTGTCCCGTTACGTGGCCGCTGACGTTCCTTTTCTCCCCTGCTTGCTCCCTTGGCCAGGTCACCTTCCCGATCCGTGTCTTCAAACTCTTAGGTGTTGAGACGCTTCTGGTCACCAACGCCGCTGGCGCCTTGGCGGACTCCTACCGCATCGGCGACCTCATGATTATCCGGGACCACATCAACTTGCTGGGATTGACCGGGCAAAACCCTTTGGTGGGACCCAACGAGGAGCAGTAAGTGAGCCCACACAGAACAAGAGTTCTCAGTCAGTGGAATACAAACAACTGAATAGTCCGGGTGGGGTTTTTCTTAAGAATGACAAAGAAGTGATTATCTTTTGGCAGAATTGCGTTAGGAAGCACACAGCGCAACGGCCTTGCAGTTTGCTCTCCACACGATCTGCACAATCTCCAGCATGCAACTGTGTGACTTGGAGGTTGGCTTGTTAAAGGCAACAGCGATTCTGTGGGCATATGTGTGCCTGCCTGTGAGTCCTTCCTTACACAAATTATGGCGACTGGGGGGGGGAGGTAGCCATGTGCAACACAGAGGGCTGATGAACAGGATTTGGGCCTTTCGTGTTTAACAATGACCATAGCAGCAAAATTTATCCTCAGCACAGTTATTACAGTTTCCCACTAGTAGCAAAATGATTATGACAGTGTTTTTCTTTTTGTGTGTGTTTACACTCAATAATGCTACTGTAATTTTTAAGTCCCAAGAACTGACTATAGCAAGCGCCTTTTTCCTGAATGGCTCCTGACACAGTGGCAAGAAGGAGAGCCAAGAGGGGGCCAGGCGGGCCTCCCATGGGAGGGAGTTCCACAGTAGGCTCATAAAAGGAGATGGGGTCGTTGAGATCGCTTGGACCCAAGCCATTAGAACCATCACTTTGAATCCTGCCTGGGAACAGATCAGCAGCCAATGGAACTGCAGTGACAGAGTGGGTTTTTTAAATCTCTGTGACCTGCCCCAGTCAGCAATCTGGCTGCTGACATTTTGGGCCCGCTGAAGTTTCCTGACACTTTCCAGAAGAAACCCCACATAAGATTGTGTTGCAGTAATCCAGTCCGATGACTGCCAGGGGTGGAAGAGTTCCATCGAGGGGTGTGTGAGGTTCTGCCACTGGGCACAAGTCATGCTCACCCCAACATTTAAAAAGGTACTGTTTCATTAACCGTAATCAGCTGCTGTCAGTGACGTTGTTCCCACTGCCCTGGCAGAGCTCCATAAGAGGATACAGAGCTATCAATTATAAATATAACAATACCACGCCTGTTTATAACAATAGCATGCCTGTCAGCACATTACCGGACATTTTGGGGGGAGACTGGGCTTTTCGTTTCTGTAATGCAGGGTTATGTATGGTTTTTTGGCACAGAGGTTACTGAAAAGCACAAGGCCAAAGGCCGAAAACTCGTGACTTAGACCATTCTGTTCTTTATTTATTGATGAATTGGTTGATTGATTGATTGATTGCTTTAATTTATATTCTGCTCCCATTAGTGCCGTGGCACTACTCCAGGTGGCTCACAATAAAATACACAACCATAATAACATAATAAAAACCACATGACACTCTAACGAATGAAAACAGAGGGCCCCAGAGCAAGGACGACACTAAGAATAAAATAAAACATGAAAATTAAAACCGAAAGTAAGTTACTGGACCGAGATGTGAGCTCAACCTCAACTCAACCAGGGCCAGGGAGGAAAAAGCCTCCCTGAAAAGTCCTGTCTTCCATACCCTCTTGAAGGTCAACAGGCGAGGCGAAGCAACTCTGGCAGCTGGCTCCACGAAGATGGAGCAACTGTGGAAAAGGCCCTGCCTTTTTTCCCCCTTCCTTCTTTCTTTCTCACCCAGGTTTGGGCCCCGATTCCCTGCCCTTGTGGATGCTTACGACAGACAGATCCGTACACTGGCCATGGAGATAGCCACGCATCTGGGCTATGCCTCATTTGTCAAGGAGGGCGTCTACTGCATGGTCGGAGGCCCCAATTTCGAATCTGTGGCAGAGGCTCGCCTGCTGCGCTTACTCGGGGCAGACGCTGTAGGTAAGAAAGGGCACAGCAGAGCTTGGGGAAATCTGCCTTGACCGTAAACCTCCTAACATTAAATTATTAATGAAAACTCAACCATTGGACTCCAAAGAAAAATCCAGAGTTCATTCACTGCTTCGGCCAGAATCCTACTGGTGTTAGTGTAAGTTCTGCATAACTTACTGCAGCTAATTGCGGCTTACTGATGAGAAGCCAGGACATGTCTCGGAGTCAGGGGATGGTCTGTCTCTAGTCGCATCTACCTGACTGTGTACCTGAGGCATGCCCTGGGACCTCATCCCTTAACTGTGGCAAGTTACACAAACCTTGTGTAAGCATCAGTTCAATTCTGTCCATTAACTAACTGGTCATTTTAAATTTCAAAAAAACCAAACTAACACTATTTAAAGTAGCCTCAAACGCCCAGCCTCGTAAGAACAAATCTCTTTAACACATGTTAATTGTTTCTTTAAAAATCAATTCTATGGGCATTGAATGCCTAAGAGAAGAATTTTCAATACTGTGGGTTCTCCATAATTTCCACAAACTCGTCCTGTGCGAATGGGTGCCCTGACCCTTTCAGAAGTAAAGCGCACAAAGACAGAAAACACAGAACGGAGAGATGATTGCTAAAACAGATGCAGAACCCCTCGTGTACTTCCCTGATCCTTGGAAACCTAAGCTGCAACGAAGGAGCCATCCACACAAACAATTTGCATAACTTGTGGAATCTTACTTAATTTGTGCAAAGAAAAATTCATTCATTCTCTTCTCTTGTAAAAACAGCCACCAAATTATTCTTTTGCCAGGCAAACGAATAATTTTGTGTTGTCTCATGCTCACATGCAAGGTTCAAAAAAAGAAAAAAGAAAAAGCAAAGACTTATGACTTTAGTTTGGAATAGCCATTAATAAGATTGGAAAACCTCTAAAGGCCTGGACAAATTTAAAAGGTGATGTACTGAGATATAGCAAGATGCACCATGGCACAGGGGTGGAAAAAGGGGGATCAGGCAGATTCATGCGGGACAAAGCAATCGGTGGGTTTTCACTGTAAAGTCCTGAGCATATATAAAAGCCTTGCTATCTCCTTGTAGGCATGAGCACGGCAGCAGAGGTGGTGGTGGCCAGGCACTGCGGATTACAAGTCTTTGGTCTCTCGCTGATCACCAACAAGGTGACCATGGACTACGATGCTAAGGAGAGCGTCGACCACCATGGCGTGCTGGAAGTGAGCCGGAAGCGAGCTGCCATTCTCCAGACGCTGCTCACAGAGCTGGTGGGCAGACTGGCATCTAGCAAAGGCGGCAACAAGGAGCAGAAAGGAAGCAAGACCAATTACCAGAATGGAGCCTAAAGGCAGCTCCAGAGGTCAGCCTTGGACCCCAAGACACTTCGGATGGAGCTTGTGACTTGGGTGTGCAGAGCCACACACCCCTTTTTTAATTTATTTGCTTTAATTTCCAAAACAAAAACAAATACAAAATACAAAATACTTACTATGCAATCTAAACCACAGTGCACCCCCATACCCACAGGACCCTTTGGAGCAATATTTTTAATACGAACCTCCTTTCCAAAATAGTGCCGATTGTTGCTTACAGGCTTTCCCCTTTCCTTTCACTAATACAAATTCAATAAATCTACCCCAAATAACATAAAAATATTTGAACTTATTTCCCCTCTTTTCATCTTAAGTTCAGTAGTCAATTTATCATTTAATGCAGTGTCCCATACTTCATTATACCAATCTTCTAATTTAATATCATTTTTATCTTTCCGGAATCTAGCTATTAATATTCTAGCCCTTGTCATAAAATTGGAAATCAATTCTTTTGAGCAATAATCAAGTTCTATCTTATAAAAAATTGACAACAAAGCAATTTTAGAATTAAATTCAATATCTTTCCAAATATATCACATATTTCCTTAAAAATCAGTTTCCAAAATTTCTGAATCCATTTACACTCCCACCACATATGATAATACGTGCCAATTTCTTCATCACATTTCCAACAGGCCTTAGAATAGAAGAGGCGCCCCTTAAAGAAGCGCCCCTTAGAATCCAAACCAACCCTTTGCCGAAAATCTCAAATGTTCACGTCGCCTGATGAGCGTGGAAGGTTTTCTTCTTTCTTGGTTTTGCCATGAATTGTCTTTTCCATCTGTAGTCTTGCAAGGCCTGTGACATTCAGAACTATAAGCCACTCTGCTCCCTAGATAAAGGGCATAAAGATATAATTAACAATAATAATAATGTGCCATCAAGTCAGTTCTGACTTAACAGCAACCCTTTCCAGAGTTTTTAAGGTAGAGAATGCTCAGACGTGGTTTACCCTACCCTTCCTCCAGGGGGAGCCCTGGGACGACGGCGCAGCTGGCCCAAGGCCACCCGGGCTGGCTCTACTTCCCAACCTCTGGCTCCACAGCTGGAGACCGAATCCACTGAGCTATCCAGCAAGCTAACGATATACAGTATTTAAACTGGTTTAAACTGTAGCCGCTTCAGACCAAAAGAAGCTGGAAATGTTATTGCCCAGGTTGGGCAGGCGGGTGGATCTTTAAGCCTGTTATAGCAAAAATAAGCCAAAGCTGCCTTGTTCCTTACAGAGTAAACAATAGGACACAAACATTCCTGGGTCGTCGCCCTTCCTCGACATCACCTGCAAACATATCCAGGACTCAGGAGTTTCCTACAGTTCGTCAAGGGAGGGGGGGGGAGTCACAGCAATTAAATCATTTCCCGCTCAGAAATGTAAAGCCCTCTTTGTTTTCAGCTTTAAATATTCTCTCTTTGGGGACAATATTTAAAGGACCTCCCTGGGGTCCTTTTTAAGGAGAAAGCCTGGGTAAACATATTTTAAATAAATCAATAAAGACATTTGCAGGGGGAGGCAGCGATGCTGGACAGCCGCAAGCAGGAACAGAGGAGTAGGATCTTGGTGATCACTTTGAAGCCCGTTTGTGGTTTTCTGCTGCATTTCCCACCCTGTGGTGTCCTTTTCAGGTCGACGGGCAGAAAACAAGGGAGATCTCCAGCTTCTCCCACTTTAGGACGGACTCCAGCTCCCATCGTCATTCCTCCGCGTTGGGGATGATGGGGGTTGCAGTCCACCCTGCTCTGAAGAACACCGAGCGAGGGCGGGCCCCACGTTACTTTACTGCGCAGGCGACGTGGGAACGGGACGACCCACATTCTCCCTGCGAACACGCAGGACGAAAAGCACAGGCACGTGCACCAAAGCGGGAGGGTGCGCATGCGCGGAAGCGGGGGCGCGCCCAAAAGCTACTGGGCGGGGCCGTCTCCCACAAGCCACTCCCCCGCTCACCTCCTCTCAAGGGATTGTGTATTAATTATTATATTTGATATTAAAGGGGCCGTCGTGTTTTTCTTAGCCGTGGGGGGGGGAGAAGGAGACCCGAGGAAGGGGAGGAAGAAGCGGGGTGTCGGTGGGAAAGGCGTCCGGTAGCGCCAGGCGGGGAGAAGGCCGCGCCGGGCCCGCCGATGTTTGCCACAGAGTGAAGCACTTTGTGGACGGTCCCTGAGGCCGGGCCCGGAGGCGAAGCTCCGCCCGCGACGCCGCTCGGCTTCCGTAGGTCCGCTGGTCGCCATGGGAACCGGAGGCTCCGACGCTTCCCGGGTTGCTAGGAGACGCGGGGACGGGGAGGAAAGAGGGCGGCGGGGAGGCGGACGAGGGGCCGGGGCTGAACTTCGCGAGGGAGGATAAAAGACCCGCGGAGGAACAGAAGGGCGGCCGGTGGGCCCGCAAGTAGAACCTCTACGGTCAGGGGTAGGCTACCTCCCCGGGGGGGGGAGCAGAGAAGACCAGTCGCTGCCGGATAGTGCTTTTGGCCCAAGGCCTGCTCGTGGGCCTCCCCTTCCCCCCCCACCACCCGGGGGGGCTCTCTTGTTGGGAAACCACGTGCTGGGCCCCTTTTTCCCCCGCAGTAAGGAAGGGGGGGCAGCAGGGGGAGGGGGTTGCCCCCCCCAAGGTGTTCAGAAGGCAAGAGGTTGGGGAGCCCCGAAGGACAAGGGCTGGGCTGTAGAAATGTGTGTGTGTGTGTTGGGGGGGCAACAGTTGGCTTATTTCTGCCTCCCCCCCACCGCCTCTGCCTTTCTGCGTGGTGCCCTCTGTCAACTGGGTCAGGGCAGGGTGCTTGGGGAGGATGGACAGGGTTCCTGGCTCCTCAGGTAGGGGTGGGCTGGGGGGGTTGACCTTGTTTTCTGGGGTCAAGAAGCCACAGGAATCCCGGAATAGAAAAACAGGGAAGGTAAAGGAGGCAAGGAAGGATCCAGATGGTGTGGTCTACTCGCAGCGGCAATGTTTCTGAACGGCTAGGTTGGCAGGAGCTGGGAGGTTAACCCGCTGAGCCGCCGGGCTTGTTGTTCGGAAGGTCGGCGGTTCGAATCCGCACGACGGGGCGAGCTCCCGTCGCTTCTCCCAGCTCCTGCCAACCTAGCCGTTCAAAAACATTGCCACAGTGAGTAGCCGAACAGGTGCCACCTCGGTGGGAAGGCAACGGCGTTGCCTGTCTAGTCGTGCCAGCTACGTGACCACAGACAAAGTGGGCTCCAACGTACAAAAACAGGGATGAGGACCGGTCCCTAGTGGGCTCCGGCTTACAAAAACAGGGATGAGGACCGGTCCCTAGAGGCGGGCACGGCTGGACTTCACGGTCAAAGCGAACCTTTACCTTTGAAAGGGGTGAGCGGGTGGGCAGTTAGCAGAAGAGGCCTGAGAAAGGAGCAAATAACCAGCAGTTATTTGGTGGCAGATGCTAAAATCTGGCACATTGAAAGGGGCTGAATGCTGGCGGTGCAAAAGCAGGGGTAATAACTGTGGCTGAAGAAACTGAGCTGAAGTAGATGGCTAGCAAGCCTCTCCATCAAGAAGGGGTGCTTGCACCTTCCCCGGGGGGAGGGGTTGGACTCTGGCTGCCCTAATCCCTTTTGATTGGCTGCATTGGCTGGGGGCTGCTGGGAATTGAACCCAGGAAACCTAGTGAGCCCAAAGCTCCCCACCCCGGCTCTAGAGAGTCCTCGGTAAGCTAACAATGCTAGACTCGCGTGAGCAAGAAGGCATACTAATATTGACTTCTGTGCTAGGCTCCTTAAACCTGGTGCCCTATAGATGATTGGACTACCAATGGGGGTGGTGAGGAATGGCAGGAGATGGAAGCCAACACGTGGGGGTGGTGAGCCCACTGCTGGCTGAGGAATGGCAGGAGATGGAAGCCAACACATAGGGAGGACCCCGAGTTTTGAGCTGTAACAAGATATAAATGAATCATGAATCATCAGAGTGCTCTGGTGTGGTTCCCAACCATAGGCCACTCAATTTTTCTTGGACTGCAATTCCTAGAAGACTTCACCACCAGCTGCATTGGCCGGGGCTTCTGGGAATTGCAGTCCAAGAACACCTTGGGTTGGGAAGCACTGCACCAGAATATTAGTCTATAAATTGGGGTGGCACCCAGCTGGTCTCGGGAGATCCATGGTTTATCAGCCGCCAGGCACCCAATTTTGAACCAGGGCTTGGAAGCATTTCTAATTTGGGGCTGAGGGGCCATGGAGGCTGTGGGGGAGGCCATTCAGAGGGTTTTAGTCCAAGCAGTATCTGCTCTAGGCTTTGTTTTGGACTCATGCTGTCTAGGTTCAGAACATTTCCAGGACCGTGCTTCAGAAAGGCTAGACTGTGGTAGGATGTCAAAGACAGCACCCAGATCTGGTTTGTGCCACTGTAATTATGCCCTGGAAAAGCCCCTGATGTTGAGAAAGTGTGAAGGCAAGAGGAGAAGGGAACGACAGAGGATGAGATGGCTGGACAGTGTCACCGAAATGACCAACATGAATTTGACCCAACTCCAGGAGGCAGTGGAAGACAGGAGGGCCTGGCGTGCTCTGGTCCATGGGGTCACGAAGAGTCGGACATGACTAAACGACTAAACAACAACAACAATTATGCCAACAGGATTTTGCCCAGTGCTTTAGAGTTGGTTTCTTAGATTGTACTGCTTGTTTGGGTACCCAACTCATTCCATGTGTCATATCCCTAGTAAATAATTTTGCAGTGCTTATGTGCTTGTGACACATAATCTAAGGGGCTTATTCATCACAATGTCAGCCGTGGAAGGCGAAGGGCACAGAGGATGCATTCTGCCTCTTTTAAGCATTGTGTGGTTGCTGAGACAGGACCGCAAAGCTCTGTTGCTTTTGTTGAATCTCCTCTTGGGTGCACTTTACCTGACAGACTTCCTTGTAGTCCCTGCTTGTTTTAAAATACATCAGAATGTAGAACTGGAAATGTTCTGTCGTAAAGAAACAAGGGTCTTTCTCAAAGGAACTCAGCTATGCTGTACCTCCCTATCAGACAGTCACAAACCTCAGTGTCTCTTCCTTTTCTTGGAGAGATTGGAGTGTTGTTTATATGTGTTCTTTTGCAGTGTCTCTTTCTGGCTCAAAAAATGTCATCCAGCAATCCAAACCTGAATATTCTGCCCAGAAGTGTCCTCAGCACCTTAAAGAACCCTGTGAGTCCCAGAAAAAAAAAGGGGGGGGAGAGGTGGCTTTGCAGCCCTAAGCAAAGAGGTGTATGCGGTGGCGACAGCATCTTCTTTGTGGATTGTCTCCTGCCACCCATGTTCTGTGTGTTTTGTTTTGGTAAAGATGTTATGGATGTACTTCCTGGATTTGTATTCTGTTGTTTTCCCTAAGGTGGCTCACAGTAATATTAAATGCTATGCACTAAAGGGTCAGTATATAAATGTGAGAAAATGGAAATGAAAAGAGAATAAAACAATAGCCACTATTAAAACAGAATCGAATTAATAGCTCAGTTTACAACATACTACAGTTTAAAAACAAAACCTTAAACAAAATACAGCCCCCAGCTGGTAACAAGACCCATCCTTAGCAGCTGGTCAGTCGGCAAAGGCCCGGTTGAATGAAAGAGTCCTGGCCAGCCTGCGGCAAGACCACATGGAGGGCTCCAGTCGAGCTTTCCTCACTAGAGAGTTCCAGAGCCTGGAGGAATTTCCAGATGGACAAAGGAAGCTTTCCTTTCAGAAGGGAAAGGCACCCGGCTTGTCATTCTCCTCACAGGCATTTTGTTCTTAGTGTATGCCTTGAGTGGTGCCTTGAGTTGCGAACTTAATTCGTTCTGGGATGATGGTTGTAACTCAAAGCACCATTTCCCATAGGAATACATTGAAACACGATCAATCCGTTCCGGCTGTTTTCTGGCTGTATCTCAAGGCGCTGGTTGTATCTCAAAGCATTACAGTGGTGCCTTCACTTATGACCATAATCCATTCCAGAAGATGGACGTAACTCGAAATGGTCATAAGTCGAAGCACCATTTCCCATTTCTGGTCATCTCTCAAAGCACCGGTCGCAAGTCAAAGCAAAATTTTACGACCGGAGCTGGTAGTAACTCGAATTGGTCGCAAGTCAAGACGTTCGTAAGTTGAGGCACCACTGTATTTGTAGTGCATTTACAGAAAAAATAGTCTGTTTCGTTGTAGATTGTCTGTTTCCTCTCTGTGAGCTCATCTTTTTCTTGTCCTGGGTTTAGGATTATAGTCCGTGGCAAAGAAAAAATGTGGCCAAGAAACAAGCCTTAAGGTTAGCTTTGCCCCCCGTCATGTTGCCAGAAAGGAAAAAAGAAGAAAAGAAGACGGGAGGAAGATGGACGCCCGAAGACAAGAGACCAGGTGGGCAACGATTCAGGACACGTATCTTGACCTGACCGCGCGTCTCTTCACGGCAAAAGAGCTGCCGTTTGTACCACTTTTTCTGATACAGAAAATGGGTTCTCCGTTGGGGAGGAGGGTATTCAGCCGATCACGTATGGGAAGCGTCCCGTGTTTTCCTGAGATCCTTGTAGCTCTCAGTCCGTTTCCTTCCCTGTTTTGCACAGGGACTGTGAAAGGGGCCACGTCGAAAGGGAATAATGTTGTGTTCTGCTCTAGTGGGGAAAACGGGCCCAGGCTTCGCTCTGAAAACACCATCCTCCGTGAGACAGAAACCTGGCTGGACACAAACCATGACAAAGGAAATGAAGATGGCGAGGAGTCTGGAGAACATCAAAATCTTGCAGGTACGTGAAGGTCCTATCCTAAGCTTGAACTGTAGGATCTGGTGCTGTTGATACAGGTTTAGGAAGGGCCTGGTGAACCAACCACCTGTGGCTGGTTGCCTCTGTGTGTGGAAAGTTTCAATGGTGTCTTTCTGGATTTTGTGACGGGACACCCCTCCCCTGTTTTGGTGATTGAAGCCCCTTTTGCAGGGAACGTAGTATGGGGGTAGAGATTTCTAGGCATCCTGTGGCATCCTTCAGTGTGTGGGTGGGCTAAAAGGAAGCAGAGAAGAGGAGACGCAGGCCCTTCGGGTCACCCCTTCCTTGAAAAACATTTCAGCAAATTTCCAGGAGCAAGACGTTCAGCCTGGAAGAACTGAAGCGACACTGCAGTGTGCTTCTGGAGAAGAACAAGGCGCTTGTGGAGAAGATTGAGATGATGGACGCTGACATTGCCAGCCGGGCCAGGGACCTTCTCCAGCAGTATGACATGTTTGGGGTAAGTAAAGCTTGGTTTGCCTAGAGATGTAGATGACCAGCCGTGGGCACATTTGGATGTCAGCTTTCCATCTGCTCGGCTGGGTCCTGTCATGCCAAGCAGGGAGCCTGGGAAGTAGGCCTCTGTTTCCCTAGGATTCTCTTGTCCGACTGCCATCTGGATGGCACAGTCCATGCAGGTCCCACCCCAGCCCTTGCCAGCATCAGCCACAATCTGCAATGACGGCTCAGTCACTGAGAAATGAGACAGAGGCATATTTATTTATTTAAAATATTTCTATCCCACCTTTCTCCCTGAAAGGACCCCAAGGTACTAAAACAGTATTTAAAAGCTAAAAAAATATATACAAATATTAAAGTGTTATATTCTATTGAAAGGGTAACTAAAATCAGTATTAAAACACATATGGCTGTACTTAGTGGGGAACTGGTTTGAAAGGGTAGCTCCTGAAATTTAAGCCTCCTCTTCAGCAAGTGGCTCTCCCACAGTATGAAGCTGTTTTATATTAAGACATGTGGGTCCATCCGGGTCTGGTGCTGGCTCCCTAGGCTTCCAACAGGACCAGCCGTGGATTGAGAATTTTCTGGTATTCAAAGCAGCTCCTCTTCAATAAGTCAGGAGTTCCTGGAAGCTCCAAAGAGTTTTCTTTTCTCTGTCTCAACCCGCCTGCACTATCCTCCACACTCTGTCCCCTACCACTGGCTGATCTGCTGCAAAGCCATGGAACATTCAGGCCAAAAATATCTCAAAGTAGCAAAAGTATTTAGTACAGTGGTGCCCCACTTGACGATTACCTTGTTAGACGAGGAAATCACTTTACGATGTAGTTTTTGCAAAATGATGTTTTAATAGGGAAAAACCGCTTTACGAAGATTGGTTCCCTGCTTTGGGAACTGATTTTTTGCTCAACAACGATCAAAACAGCTGATCATCGGCGCTTCAGAATGGCCACCCACTGTGCAAAATGGCTCCCCACTGTGTTTTAGGATGGATTCCTCGTATTACAGGCACCGGAAAATGGCCGCTCTATGGAGGATCTTCGCTGGACGCTGAGGGATTTCGCCCATTGGAACGCATTGAACCGGTTTTCAGTGCATTTCAATGGGATTTTTACTTTCGCTTGACGACAATTTCATTCTACAGTGATTTTGCTGGGACGGATTATCCTCGTCAAAAGAGGCACCACTGTACATACAATCTGTTGCATAATACAACTCCTTGCTTCTAAACATGCAAGGAAACCTGAAAATGGTTGTTCTGGGTTTTTCAGGCTCTTTGGCCATGTTCTGAAGGTTGTTTTTCCTAACGTTTCACCAGTCTCTGTGGCCATGGGCATCTTCAGAGGACAGCAACAACCATTAGATCCCGGCTGTGAAAGCCTTCGCGAACATATTAAACCTGAAAATGTTAACTCGAACACTTTACGCATTAGGAACAGTTTAAAATAGATGAAATGGCCCAGCAATGCAATATTGTGATAACTATTCAGGTTTACCCCAAAATTAGGTTGTCTTATTATTGAACCCAACGGCATCTTTGGAAAGGACCAACTGTCTCGTTCTTCCGATCCAATAAATGCAGCTTTGCCAATGCACCTTCGTACAGTGCCTGGGAAGAGAGATTGAACTGGAGAAGCCGTTGGAGCTGTTTGGTCTCTGTAGTCACGCTTTGAGACTCCTCAGGGGCCCAACCCCTCTTCCTTTTGATTCCTCACTCTCTCCCCTCTGTCCCCACATCCCGGGGTCTCTTTTGCCACTTTCTGAGCTGTGCTGCTGCATTTCTTCCATCATCCCATCAGGCTATTACTCTTTGGAAACTTTTATTCCACAGGCTGCGTTCACTGATTTCCTCCCCATCTTCGCTGGAGGAAGTGGCTGTAAGAAGAGGGGGGGGGATGTGGAAGGACAAGCCTCTGTCGCTTGTTCTGCTCTCACACACGCACAGCTCTTTTCATTCCTTTCCTCCTGGCTTCCTACAAGAGCCACTCGCAAGGGGATGTCTTTGAAATGCACGGGGATGCACTGAGTAGGTCTTGCCTTTTGACTTCTGTCTCCACAGACAATCATTGCGACGCTTCAGGACTCCAATCAGAACAAAGTTGGTGTCACAAAAGCAGAATACCTGGCTTCCGAAAAAATGGTGGAGAAGAATATGGGAAGTAAGCTCTACGTGGCCTGCCCTACAGCTGGTCAGCCAACGGAGACCTTTGGCCTCACGCACAGGGACCAAGCTTTAGGGGAAGCTGTTTGAGAAACAAGGCTAGCTTGAGTAGAGCTTCTGGGTGGGGTCACTTGTCCCCTGGTGCCTGGTAGAAACGAGGCTGAGAATGTGGTCTTGAGAACAGGCGATGCATTGGCAATCCAAGCATGCTTCTGTAGAATACAGGGGAACAAGGAGAATCTTGTCCTTAGTGGGAGGGATCTTGGCAAAGAGGCAGAACACTTCCTTCATCTGCAAAGACTCCCATTTGAAATGATCTGGTAACAGGTGATGAACCCCACCACCACCCCAGGGAGCATGCTAGTCAAAACAGACTTTGTTGGGTTAGACACGCAGGGCTTCTGACCTACCTTAAAACCATTTCCAGTGTTCTTATGCCTATGGAAAAGATGGGATATCAGATATCCTGCAGATATAATCGGGGCAGATGTCAATACTTACTTGCGTATTATAGCGCTGTAAAGGTGCAAAGGAAAGACCAGAGATCTGTTCAGGAAGGGAGCAGATGTCAATACTTACTTGCGTATTACAGCGCTGTAAAGGTGCAAATTGCCCCATTTCTCAGAGATCCAGGCTCTTTGGTTTTCCAGTACCCAGTCTTGGGCATGCATGGTTTTGCTGAAGATGGAAGGAAAGATTTTCTCAAGAGGCGATGGAAATAGCTTTTAGACCCTCTAACCTGTAGGAGATGCAAAGGGATTTTGGCAAAGACATGTCTGAAGTTTGAAAAATCTCCCCTTCCCAAGGCTGGAGAAGGATCTTCACCTAGCAAATGGTTTCTTTTGTTGGTGTGGCATTTTCTCTGTTAGTGACTGGAAGATTTTTTTTAAAGGAAACCATGTGTGTTTGGTTTGAAGGTTCTTTCGTGTTGATGTTTGCCTCTGTGTCTTTCTTGTGTTATTCACTAGGTTTATGGTTTTGTGCTCATGGCCACTAGAAGGACAAGACACAGATGCCAATTAGACATGAGAAACGGTTTGGTTTTGGACTGCAGCTCCTGGAATGGATGTTTGCAGCCAAAACGGAAACATTTCCCATCTTTCTATATGATGGAGATGTACCTGCACAGAACAGGGCCATGCTAGTTCCCTCTTTGCGTGGTAGGATCCTGGGCCATTCCTGTAGAATTTGCCTTTTAGCCCCTTCCCTTTTATTCTTCCCCCCTCCCCCAAGAACTGGACCTGGAGGCGAAGCGCATGCAGAGCAAAGTGCAAGCCGTCCAGGAGGAGCTCAATGTCCTGCGGACTTACATGGACAAGGAGTATCCAGTGAAGGCTGTCCAGATCGCATCCCTAATGCGCAGCATCCGGAACCTGAGTGAAGAGCAGCAGGTGGGAGAAGGGGGCGTCTACAGGCCTCTGTCTTGCTTGGAAGCAAGGAAGTGTGTAAAAGGTTTGGAGATACCAGTTTAATCTTTCTTATCCTTCTGTGCTGCCGTTTGAAGGATGAATTGGAAGATATTGAAGATCTGTCCAAACGGTTTCTGGAAGGCTTAGCAGCGAAGGCCCGCGAAGAACAGGAATGCATTTTGCAGGCTGTCGCAGAGGTTAGCAGGATGGGACTGGATGACCGTACAGTACTTAAAAGTGGCTGTTTGGATTTATTTATTCAGTTTGTACCCCACCCGTCTACCAAAGTCTATTCTGGGTGGCTAACAACAATACATAAAAGTAAAAACAATGTACCATAAAACAACAGTATTAAAATAATTCAAGACGGCAAATAATAGATTAGGTGATTCGGGTAGATCTAGATGGGAGGAGGCATTCTGCCAGATATTGAGGTCCTAAATGTTTAGGGCTTTATATGTCATAATTAATACCTTGAAATCAATGTGAAAATGAATGAGCAGCCAATGCAAGGCAGCCAGAGTGGGGAAAATGTGCTGATATTTTCTCACCCGACTGAGAAGTCTGGCTGCCGCATTCTGCACCATTTGAAGCTTCCATATCCATCTCAAAAGTAGCCCCATGTAGAGCGCATTACAGTAGTCTAATCTCGAGATTACAAGCGCATGGACCAAAGTGATGAGTGGCCCAACATCAAGATAGGGACGCAGCTGGGCAATCCGCCACAGATGGAAATAGGCAGAGTGGACCACTGACGGCACCTGGGTTTCGCCAAGCTGTGAACCTCCCTCTTTGCAGTGAGAGTTACCCCCCCCCAAAAAAAACAGAGGGAGTTTCCCAAACCACCAATGGAGGGGCCACCCACCCTCAGAACTTCCGTCTTGTCCGGGTTCAACCTCAGCCCGTTCTCCTACATCCATTGCAGTACAGTCTCCAGGCAGCGCTGAAGGGACAGAACGGCATCACCTGCAGTTGGTAAAAAGGAGATGTAGAGCTGGGTGATGGCACGAAACTCCACATCCCCCGATAACCCCACCCAGTGGCCTCATGTAGATATTAAACAGCATTGGGGAGATCATAGAGCCCCGCGGAACCCCACAATTGAGGCTCCATGGGGCCGAGACGCTCTCCCCAAGCTGGACTCTCTGAGGACGGCCCTCTAAGAAGGACTGGAGCCAGGCAAGTGCCAGGCCACCAATTCCCAATTCTGAGAGCTTCCCCATGAGGATACCGTGGTCAGTGGTATTGAAAGCCGCTGCGATATTAAGGAGGACCAACAGAAATGTTTTGTCACTGTTGTTCTCCCTCAACAACTCATCAAACAGGGTGGCCAGTGCCATTGCCGGGCCGTGGTGCGTCCTGAAACCCGACTGGAACGGATCCACGGCATTGGTGTCATCCAAAAAGAACGCAAGTCAAGTCACGGCTATGACTTAAGTCCGACTTGACAGCGGGTCCTGCGACTCGAATTTCCATCCCTGGGATCTGGCAGATTTATCTCTGCCCTGGCCTGCCCTCAGAACCCACTGGTCTGCTTTTCTCCCTTCTCTAGGAATTCCCAGACTTCTGTTTTGTTTTTGTTATTCAACAAAATGCCCTTTATATTTTCAACTAAATCCTAAAAAAAATAGCAGCGCGGTTTTGGATCCCAGCTAACTGGAGAAATAAAGTTAAGTGAGCTGCTGTTCTTAGGAGGGAAGGTGTTTCGGAACATGTGGGCCACACAGGGGGTGACGTTATTTCTTCTCTGTCCAGGAGAAGCTGATGCAGTACCAAGAGGGCCTGGAACAGATGAACAGGAACAACCTGGAGCTGAAGAGACAAATAGAATTGCAAAAGGAGGCAAGAGCTGCAAGACGTGTCTCGGAAGGGAAGTTAAAATGGCAGAGACAGCTAGATGCTGTACTCCCGGGCCCTGGGCCATCATTGGCCCCTTCCATGGGGGAGGTCTCACAGTGGAAGTGAGCCCAGTCAGTGCCTCCTACAAGGTGCCAGTGGGAGCACGCATGGCTTCAGTTGTGGAGAGGCCCTGGCTTCTGAGATGAACATGCCCCATGCCCAGCCTGAATGAATGGCTGAAAGCTTGAGTGCTAAACTCTATGGGGACAGGTCATATTATAGAGAATCGTAGTCCTGCGGAGGATAGGATTGCCCTGAAGTCAAGGAGGAGGAGGAGGAAAAGGGTAGCCCTCTCCCTCCATCTGTATGTCTGAAAGGAACCAGGCTTTCCATGAAGACGCAGCTCATGTAGGGGGCATGCTGTCCAAATGAGGTTGTCACGCCCCATGAAGATGAAGGGGTGTGTGGGGGGGGGAGCCTGGGGTAATCTATTCCCTTGACTCACACACTCAGCTTAGCCCTGTCCCAAATGCCGGAATAGGTTTTATATCCTAGGTCCCCAGCTGGCCTTTTCAGGAACTGCTAAACCTAATTTGGGAAAGTGAACATTTGCTTGCTGAGGCTGAGGAGGGGAAGCCCCTGGTGGAAGCAGGGCCTTCAAATGTGTGAGGAAGCTCTAGGCTGAAGTCAAGAACGCCGGACACTCCGAGGAACAAAAGGAAGTTGAATGGCTGGACTGGCATGTGCTCAGAGTTGCTCTTGAGTCTTTTTACGGGGTCAGAAATTAATCCAACAGATGGAATTGCTTTGCTCCCGGCTTGCTAAAATTTCCCCTCACTGTTTCAGGTAATTGATGAGCTGAGGAAAGAAATCGGCGACTTGCACAAGAGCATTATAAAGCTGCAGCACTCCGTCGGAGATCCACGGGATATGATTTTTGCCGATGTCCTTCTCCGCAGGCCAAAGTAGGTTCCTGAGCAGTGTGTGGCAAGCTTCTAGGGTTGCTGACTGTGCCGGGGCGTTTACAAGCGCCAGGAGTCCTTTTCCCCCTT